ATCATTTTAGACAAAGAAGACAAGTCCCTCCATGGTTGGGATGCCCACGGATCCTTTGGGGATACGGATAAGTAGTTCACCATCAGTAAAGTGTGTGTCCTAAAAAGAGCATACTCAGGGTGTGGAAGCAAGAGGTCACAAACTGTCCCAAGAAGGCAGGGATGAAAGAGGAAGGTGGTGGCCACCAAAAAACACAATATTCTCATACCACACTGATTTGGCAATAATTTTCACAAATAGGAGTGAATACATGTGATATCTGATAGATTTCTACCTTGGCAAGTTTTGGCTTGAAGCACCTGGACCAGGAGACCTGGTAATCTTGGCCGCCTTGCTGCGATAAGCATAGGTTGCCACTAGGTGGCAGTAAGTTCCTCAGCCACAGGGCTGTGCTCTACAGGTGAGCTCTGTGCTTCACTTGAAGTTGGCTGCACCCCTAAATTTTGCACCGTATTTCCGTTTTAAATAGTTAAAAGGCAAGCATGAAAGCCCTTAATTAGATTTGTCTTTTTAAGGATAATATTAGCACAAAATAAATATATTTGAACTTTTCTCACTAAGGCCAGTCGAGCCAGTTAATCCCAAGTAATCTTGGTGGGACCTTGGACAAGCTATTTAACCTCAAAGTGCTTTTGGTTTTCTCTTCTGTAAATTGGGGACATTAATAGTGCCTGCTCTGTAGGGTAGAAATCTAGTAAATAATCAGTCTAGTAAATACTCAATAAGAAGTAACCCCCAGCTTTATGGCTGCCTCTTCCGGTCTGAAATTCTTCCCAGCATTTTGTTTTCAGACTCCAGGGAAAGCAAACTGCCCTTGGGCTACTTTCTTGCCCTGGACTCTCTGTCCAGGCCCAAAGTGGTTTAGACACTCACCTTAGACTGTTAGAGTCCTTTCGAGGGGTCCCTGTGCCCCTCTGGTGCTCCCCATGGGTTGTGAGCTCAGTGCTGCCTCTGCGCTCCCCCTGCTCTGGGGCCCCCTCACTCCTCTCCTTCATCCAGCAAAAGCAGGGGCAGACATGAAGGTGTTTTGTCATATACCCAAACATGCACCAATCAGAAGGAAAGCAATCCCTTGGGAGAAGACAAAAAATATCCTTCCCATTCCCTGTTACCAGTTCCTCATTAACTAGTAAATGGTTCACCAGTACTTGTGCCAGGAAAAGATTTATTTTCTTAGAGGCCTTTTCTTGTCACAGAATACTGTGAATAAAATTTAAGCAAGGTTCTTGAGCACAGATTTGAAGGGATTTCATGGCAAGGAAAAATAGGACACCGTATGATGTCCTAACGAAAACTGTACGATGTTGAAAAGGACCTGAATGTCGTAGTGGCAGAGAGCTGTGAAGAGCTATGTGACCTGTTTCCATGAACACAATCTGTATGTTTACAAGTTTAGGGAAGGAGCTCGGGACTTCAACTCAATCAGGGCTTGGATCCCAGTAGTGTTGTTATAGGCACTCATTTGGGTCTCAGGTCCCCCATCTGATGAAAGGAAATACTAGTCTCCCTTTAGTGAGGGCCTCCGGTGTGCCAGATGCCCTACACACACTTTCGTACCAACATAACACCCAAAAGTAGGGTTTGTTATATAATATACACCCAGCATTATTGTGAGAAACAAACAATTACAGAAGGCAGGAAGAAGACTGTGAAGCCTCCAGCACAAGCACTCAAGTGTGTTTCCTTCTTCCTTTGCTTCCTCTCCCCTCAAATCCATGAATTTCCATGGGTTGCTACAGTACGAAGCTGGTATTTTGCTCTGCAGTTTCCATGAGGAGTACTAAGCCCCAGAATCTCTGGGAAACCCCTCATGGCTTGTGGAGGCGCTAAGTACAGGGGGCAGTTATCCTGTTTAGCACTTTCTTTGAGATGCACAGCCCCCTACATGAGATAGGCAAAGTGGGACTGCCTACTCCAACCATGCGAGAGTTACTTGTTGAGTGACTAAAAAAACTACTGGGCATTTACATCTCTCCTCACTTTTCTCATCCACCATCATATTGGCTGATTCATGTCTTTCTATAAGCATTTATGGTACACCCATGCCAGGTGATTCCTGATGCAGGATTATGGATGTAAATAATTGGGTGAGAATCCTGTTTTCAAGTATTCTTGGTCCAAGGGATAAGAGGACATGTAGGGATAGAGGCCTACAGCATAAGGCATGGTGTGCTCAGGGCCACCAAAGAGAACAGACGGAGTGTATGAGAGCTCGGAGAAGGCATTGTTGGGTGGGGGCAGAATAGTGAGCAGAGAAGGCTTCCTGTAGGAGGCAACACTAATTAGAACTAGTTTGTCAAGAAGTATTTTTGAGTAGCAACTGTGCACCAGGTCCTAGACTTGATAGATAGGAAGGTAAGTTTTGGGTGTGTGAAGAAAGAAGAAAAAGCACTCATTTCTTTTTTCTGTCAACAGATATTTACCCTGTAGTGGCACTGGGAATACAACCATCAACATGATAGATGGTTCCCCTCAAGGAACTTATAACTAATAGGGAATACACCAAAAAAAAATGACTAACTGATAGATGATATAAAAAAAATGAGGAGAGTGCCAAAATGGGGTGAGACGAGCCAGTCTTACCTCGGGTGATCAGTAAAGGCCTCTCTGAAGAAAGAATGTTGAAGCTGAAGCGGAAAGGTAGGAGCCAGCCATGGAGAAAGTGAGAGGAAAGGGAACGGTGTCTGCAAAAGTCTTGGGTGTGCTTGAAGCCTTTCAAGAACACAGCAGGTTAGAGGAAGAGTGACAGATGAGGCTGGAGGAGCAGCCAGGAACCAGGCTGTGCAAGGTCTTGGGAAGATGTTACATCCAAGTATGACAGGAAGCCACTGAGGGGATTGCAAATGGTGGCCGCACAGGGCTAGGGTAGCAGGAACTGAAACCCAGCTAGGAGGCTTTTGTTATGGGGAAGCAGCCACGAGCCCATTGAAAGGTAAAGAAACACTAGAGCAGTGGTGGAACAGGGGGAAAGGTATTCGATATGATTGAGTGAAGGGTCCCGGCACTAGTAGGTGTGGTGGGAGCCGCTGAAGACAGTGTGAACCACTTTGCAAGTCCTGCTGAGTGGGGAAACCAGGGCCAGCTTCTGGACAAAGAAGAGATATTAGAACTGGGTTTTAGAAAAAGCCTTCTTGGGGAGCTGGGCGGGGGGAAGTGTTTCGTTTTTGCATTTAAAAATCGCTCTAGTATCAGATAAAGAATGGATTGGAGCATGGCTTCGGAGCGGGGCGGGAGTTGCTGCGGAAAGAAAAGCCCAGAGCGGGCAACAGTGCCGGGCCAAGGAGGGTTCCAATGGGGCTGTGGTTTCTTGGGTGGGGGACGTTCCGGCTCATTCATGGTAGGGTCTCTCTGAAAGGCTGAGAGGCTAGGACTGGAGGAATAAAGGCAAAACTGGCTGATAGTTTTCATCAGGACAAGGGTTGGGCAAATCACTACAGGTCTCTGAGCCTCAGTTTCCCCATTGATATATAGGGAGAGTGGCCAGGGGCTAGCCTCCCTCCTTACCTGCCCAGGCCCGGGCATCTCTGCTGTGAGCCTGGACGGTGGACAGCCAGGAGGGTGAGGGGGAACGTGTGCCCTGGGAAGGGCTCAGTCAGCTCATGGGCCTTGCTAGTCGTGCGGAAGCCCAGCGGAGGGCAAGGCCCCCAGGATGCGAGATGAGGGGTGGTTCTAAGTCTGGTTTCAGCCCAATTTCACAATGTCCAGTCCTCGACAGCCATTAAAACCCTGGGCATCTGCAGCAGCCCTGTAGGTCGGCAAGCTGCTGGAATTGTAATCCCATGTACCAGTCGGGGAAACAGGCTTAGAGAAGCACGGCAACACTTTCGGTGGGACGGAGCTCCCTAGTGCCTGGGTGCTGCTTGGAAGCCCAAGCCTCCTCTCCGACCCGTGAATTAGTAGGGGTCTCCGGACCAGAAACTACAATTCCCAGAATGCCATTCGGAAGGGGGGAAGGAACCGGAAGTGTGTCAGGAGGCAGGGTCTTCAGTGAGCTGCCACCGCGGGAGTGGTTCAGGTACGCCCCGGGCTCGTGGCCGGGCGGGATGGGGTCTGGGGGTCTGGTCTGGCACTGCTGTGGCTTGCCGGGGAAGTCACCCGGGAAGCAGCACTTAACAGTTGTGTGGCCCGGTGCCCCACACCTTGGTGCTTTCCCTTCCTGCCCTCGTTCTCACTTGCAGCCTGGGGGCCAGGTGAGACCCACAGACGGGTACTTTCAGGCCTGGGGTCTAGGTGTTCCATTGCCGAAGGTGCCTGAGACGTGGAGCCAGCTTCCGTGGACTAAAATTTAGAACGAGAGGGGAGTGCAAACAGAGATTGGCCCTTCACCAGGCCCCCGGGGGCGTGCCCGTCAGGTGGGACTTGGGTCAGAAAACTCAGAGACGAGGTAGTGTGGGGGGTTGTTAATTCCGCTGGTATTTACTGCGCATCCGTTACCTACCAAGCCCCTTTCTGGGCATGGAGGATGCGGTAGTGAACAAAGCAAACAGAACACTTGGTTACTTTGTAAGAATGAGGAAGTTCCCACAAAAACTAAGTAAAATATATGCCACTTTGGATAGTGATGATATGAATGAAGTGAGAAATGCAGTTATATAATTACGCAGGGGGAAGAGTGTTGGAGGTGGATAGGATAGCAAGTGCAAAGGCCCTGAGGTGGGAACACCCTTGGTGTGTTTGAGGAACCAGCAAGTAGATCAGAGGGCAGAGGACAGCAGATGGGGGGTTAGACCTTACTGATAAGTGCAGGCCATCATAAGGATTTGGGCTGTTTACTGTAAGTGAAACAGAGAATCTGGCATGGTTCCGAGCACAGGAGTGACACAGTTATCCATCATTTAGGAGGCTTTTATTCTGCGAGGCTCAGTACTGAGTTCTGGGATGTGCATGTGAATTCTTCCCTGGAAGCGTGTAATCCGGTGGGGAAACAGGCAGACCAGCCATGGTAAAAGGCTGAGTCAGATCATTGCAGCCCCATGAAGACAGAATGAGCATCGTCCCCAAATCCTCAGGATGTGCTGTTATGTCACGTGCGTAGCAACTGTTTGTTCAGTGATTAGCTCACTGAGTAATCCCAGTACCAGGCACTGGACTTGTGATGGAGACTCAGAAAACATTTCTCACTAAAGAAATGAAATGCTACATGTGGGCATAAATAATGTCTCACATGGACTGATAGACCTGTACTTCTGGGATGCCCTCCTTCACCTTTGCCTTCTGAGGAGAGGGTAAGCTGCGATTCAGTATTCCCTGAGGGTTCCATTCTGTGCCAGGCCTGTGCTAGCCGCTGCAGATATAAAGAAGAAAAGGATGTAGTCCCTGTCCTCATGAATGCCCAGTCTGCTCTACTACAGACTCTGCTGGGAGTGGTTGGCGTTGCTTCGTGTGATTTTCAGAATCACTGTATCCCACGTTTCTGGTCTGGAAAACACTCTCAGGGACTGTAGAATTTGGAGAGGCCAGAGATACAAACAGTGGAACAGGAAAGGAAGGATTGGGGGCACTGGTGGTAAAATCCCGTTTATTCAACAAACATTGATCTTAAACACTGCTGTTTGCAAGAGTCTTTGAACTGTTCCGCTGTTTAGGTAGATGTAGTTCCGGAAAAGGAACTCAGGTTCGTAGGAGGGAAAAGATGAGCATTAACCTTCCAGTTTTTAAAACAGCAGACAAAACTCTGCAGTGCCCGCACCCCAACTACCTCAACCCTGCCTCTCCTTCCTCCTCAGCCAGACCTCCTCAAATGACTCCCAGTCATTCCCCAGAAGGTCTGGCACAGAGGGGCATCTCAATCAATGAGTATTTACTGATGAACACAACTAACAATGCAAAATGCTGTGGAACTCCGAGAAGGAAGAGAGCACGTGGCTGTTAAGAAACTAGCATTCATTTAACAAATTTGTTTCTTTTCCTCTGCTAATAAAATGAGGTTGTTAAGTATTGGACCCGTTTATCTTAAAGTTACCATTGTTCTTTTTTGAATGCCTAAGTTCCGTGAAAACGAAGAAAACACTGCTGGGTGGCATATCAGTTTGTTCAGTCATTTAAGGAAACTGTTACAACAGGGGCCAGGGTATCTTCTGCTTAAAAAGATATTTGTAACTAACATCACTGTTCACGAGTACACAGTTCGGTGCTTCTGAAAGGTTTGAGGATAACTTGGTATTTTCTTGGTATTTTCACTTCTTTAGGAATATTATGGACACTATTTCATTTTGCATATGCCTTAAACTCAGTGACACAGTCACTAATATAAATAAATAAATATATTAAAATTTGTACTTAGTATTAAAGAACAGATTTTTAAGAACAAGTAAACTCTAGCCTAGGCAGAAAAATGAATACAAACTTCAAATTTTAGAAATCTTTGCATTTAATGTAAATAAATTATATCTCAAAAAATTTAAGGGCCAAGATAACTAACAGAAACATAAACAATAAAAGGGGTTAATTTAAGTGACTTGAATTCTAGTGTGTTTCATTGGGAGCTGATAACATTCAAAGTTGATGAACCAAGAAGTAATAATGGTGTAAATACATGATTTCAGATTAAGGGCCTAACACCAGAACGAAAAAAGCCTGGTTAACGAGGGTTGCTCCTGGAGGTGGGAGGGGTCAGAATGAGGATCATCACTTTTCATCCTAAACAGATCTTTGACCACGTGGGTTATGTTGGCTAGATTTTCTTTCCCACAGATACACTTCTTCTAAGTGGAGGTAGTATACTGGACCCAGAGCAGCAGCCATGCGCAGCAGTCGTATGATTCTTTGGGACAAGTGTAGGCTGGAGCGTTTTTTGTCCCGTGTCTTTCTCAGGGAGTTCGAATGCCACTGTGAAACTGTGACGTTCACTAAGTGTGCTCTGACAGTGGCTCTCCGTGGTTTTCTGCCGCAGCACTTCTGAGGGCTGTCAGAGGTTCTCACTGGTGACTGTGGCTTTCTACTGCCGGGATACTTCATTGAGTTGGAGGAGGGAATAGATAGATAGTTTGGAAACACGAATTTTGTTACATCACCAGCAGCCTAGAAGAATTCTTGGTTTGGGGCCAGTCTTGGCCACAGTTGTTGACTCACTCGTCATCCCCCAAGGGTGTTTCTAGTACAGGACTTTGCGTGTGGTAGGTACCTCAAATATAAGGGAGGTGGCTTTTGCTGTTTCTGTCCCACCATCAACTCCTGAATGGATTTCAAAGAACACTATCAATGACTTGGGTTTCTCTGCCACTGCAGCAGTGAATCAATTGTGGGGTCAGGGGTCAGGAATTGTGCTTGTCTTCTGAGAAGCGGGTTTGGCTCATACTGCTGGAATGGCTCTGTGCTGACTCATTTCTTTGGAAGACACACATGCTTTTCAGTAAGCCTCTGCTTGTATTGATGCGCTTCTTCAGTAACATAGTAGCACTCTCTGTCACTTGGATACCGGAGAATTCCTCTGTGAGTGAAATAATGTGACGTCTCACATCACTGTGCCTTTCCCTGCCAGGGCGAACAGGGAAGAAGACCAAGCGCATGGACTGGAGAGGGGAAGGGAACGCTCAGAAAACAGAGCCACACGTGCTGCGGGAGCAACAAGTCATCCTCGAGGACGCAGGCGAGGATGGCATCTCTGAAAGCTTCCAGCTTCTACAGATTGACGTGGAATGTGAGCGTCAGGAGAAGGAGACCCGGCCCACAGACGGCGCCGTGTGGTGCTCGGTGAGTGCCGTGGGCGGCCCCCGGCTTGAAGAGGACGGGATGCCCCGGAGACCCCTGTCCTGAGGGCAGGTCCTGGTAACAGGAAGACCGGGAACAAGTTTGGTGTATTCAGGGCTTCCATTTCACTTGTGTCGTAAGAAAGGGAAATAAAGTTCAGGAAGAAGTTTTGGTGCGCCTCAGAAGGGTCAGGAAATTTAAACTCTGCTTTAGGCCCATCATGTCACATGCTTTTTCTGGGGCTCTGCTTTCTCTAAACACAGTCTGGTCTATTTTTGTTGGAAAGACTAACATCCTTTTTCTCTCCTAACATTGTATCTAAATTTTTTAAAAAATAAGTAACTGTTCCTGATACTCATTTTCCTTTTTTGTGCTTATAAAGTTCTCACACAATTTTGTTTTCTGGATAACCTAAGAAAAATGTCCAAAGAAAACAGAGACACTGGGAGAAGATAATTGCAGCGAAGAAGAGCAAAAGAAAACAAGAAAAAGAAAGAAGAAAAGCCAACCGTGTAGAAAATTCAGGTAACAATGAATCAGGTTACTGGTATTAATTACATTTATTTCTTAGCTAACTGGTATCTGCATGTACCTAGGAGAAGAGGAATACTGTTTTTATGTAAAAACAAACATCTGGGAGGTGAGACCTAGTGTCCTATTTTGTTGGAAATCAAAGCATCAAAAAAAATTGAAGTCTCACTTTGAAATATAAACTATCTCGCGTGCACATGTGTTTATCAGCTCAGACGTAGAAGGTCTGATACCAGCAAACAGCTAACATTTATTCAGGGCTGAGTATTTTACGTGGATTACCCGAAGTATTTTACTACCCCCATTTTGTAGGCAAAGCGGCTGAGGCTCAGAGAAGTTAAATAACAAGATACAGGCCGTAAACGAGCACGCTGAACCGAGATGCAGACCCAGAGCCAACGCCCCCGCCTCCTGCGGCCCCCGCCCCCTGCGGTCCCTAAACGGACTAGTGAACGCACACCTCACATAAGTTTCTAGTTTCTAGTTTCTCCTCTTGTGTGAGTGGCACGCACCTGGCTGGGGACAGGCGTTTCTTACTCAATATTATTCCTCTGTTTTTCTCACTTAGGGTTTTTTTTTTCTGATACTTCTATTCTAGGCATCTGCCCCCAGCACAGCAAACGTTATCTGAGATCCTTAACCAAGGAGAAACTTTTGGAAGCCAAGCACTCAGGACCAAGACTCTGCATCGATTTGAGTATGACCCACCACATGTCTAAGAAGGTAGAACACCCACCAAGTTCCAAAGTCCTGCTCCCACAGGGAAGCCCAGAAGGGAGCAGCCGTCTCAGAGAGCCTCTGTGACTCCGTAGTGAAGCCAGCAAGCGTTTAGTTTCCTGCACTTGGCCAAGTTCCCAGGCGGCCATTGTGATCTTGCTGATTCTTTCAGCAAGAGAATAGACATCCTTCGGTTTAGTTGGCTAAACCTAAGATTTTTACCTAACCTTCTAAAGGGTTTTGAGATCAACCCTTTGCCTCTGTGTTCGGGGTGTCCCCAGTCTAACTGGAGCCTTCCACTTCAGTTCCCCAGAGACGAAGTCTTTGGCCCCTGCTGGGGACAGAAGTTCACTTGGTTGCACGCTGCCGTGGGAGATGCCGGCGAGGCCTGTGCTGTAGTGGTCGGGCTCGGGGACGCCGAGCACTTGGCATGCAACTCTGACCAGATAAGATGGAGAGCAGCCTACAGTCACATGCACTCCGCCCCGGGGAAGGTGACACTGCGTGGCATGCAGGGCCACACTTGGGAACAGAATGAACAGCCAGGGACTGTGGCAGCAAGCTCTGTCGTGTCAAGAGGGGGTGGTGCCCGCTGGTTTGAGCAGGAAACTGTGATTGGAATGTTAGAGTGATTCTCTGGGCTGGCAGGGAACTAAAACCCACTGCTCGGGGATAATCAGGAACTACACCTGGTGTCTTTGATGAAAGGATTGCTTAGTGAGGGGACCTTCTCCGTGGGAGCAGAACTGGGAGAGGAGCTTGCAGTTGGGCCATTCAAGGCCCCCCAGGTCCACCAGAAGTCGGGGCAGCACGCAGGACTGGCCCTCGTTCTAGGCCTCACACCACCAAACAGGCCTTTCTGTTTCCCAGCACCCCCGTTGGCCGCACTAGGGCTGGCCTGTTCTTCAGAGAAATTCGGGGAACTGAAGGTCTGCGGTTCTGAGTGGAACCTCTAATTATAGCCCTCAGAAGAGAGCAGCCAAGGATTTTCTATTGTCTGTGTCGAGATACCCGATTAAATCAAAGGCAGAGCCTTTTTTCCTCGACTGAACCAAATCAGTCCAGATTGTGAGGTCTCCGAATCGGGAAGGAAAGCTAAAACTCCAATCCTACTCCATCTCTTGGAGTTAGGGAGAAGGTGCCAATTTTAGTTGATGGAATACTGTGAAAATGTATAATATTCTAACCTTTCTAATTGTAAACATCATATGGTAAGTAAGACTCTAGATAAAAGCTTAAAGAACAGTTTCAGATATCATATTAGATATATAGCAACCAGTCCTAAAGGAGGGAGAATTCTCAGTGTTTCCCTTAGTCCACTGATTATGGGCTAATATCACACCTCAGCTTTCATCCCTAAGGTGTGACGCCAGGGGGCGGAACTCCCACTCCCACACTCAGGTGCTCGCTCCAGGAGCAAAGGGGTCACTCTAGCACATGAGGTTTCCCAGAGTCGCACTCAGTGAACTTGCTGAGGAACCATTTGTCGATGGTGGATTTAGAAAGAGGGCATGTTTCCACCCTAAGCTGTTCCTGCTTCTTTGAAGGAACTAAGCAGGCTGGCCGGGCAGATCCGGAGGCTGTATGGTTCGAACAGGAAAGCAGACAGGCCCTTCTGGATCTGCCTCACGGGGTTCGCGACAGGCAGCCCCCTGTATGAAGAGTGTTTGCGGATGAATGACGGCTTTTCTAGTTACCTGGTAAGCCTCGTTTTCATAATATTTGAATTGTCATCTAAAAAGTAGGTTGCGGGGTGATGTTTTTACAGTTTCAATGTTGATGTTTTATATGTATATAAATAAATTATGAGTTTTCATTATTACAGTGTAAAACAATTAAGACCTGTTCATCAGTTCTTATATTTAAATTTTTTCTTCTTCCCACCACATGGGCAAAAAGTATCCAGGACTGTATTTTGTTTCCTCGACTGTAGGTGCCAGGAATGTTTTGGGGAAAGGGCGTGGCTCCTTTCTTGTTCTCCATAATACAGAATTATGAACATGAGTTTTGGAGGAATAGAAAGAATCCTTATGGAAGTAACATGGATTTAAAGTGAATTTTAGAGAATACCAAGTTAGTTTCCAGGTCTTTCCCTCGGATCTCATAAGCGTAGTGGTTGAAATACAGGCAGGAATCCAGATCAGTTCCTAAGTCAAACCACTGAAAACGCCCTTGTGTGTTAGCATTGTGTCGCCGACAGGGGGCAGTGTGGCCTTCCTGAGGGAGGGCCGTAGAGGCAGTGAGTGTGAAGGTGCCCTGTGCAGGGCTGCAGCAGTCAGTCCGGGTGGCTGTTACTGTCGCACAGCCCCTGCTGCAGTGCGGCCATTTCCAGCCTCACTTTCCTCCCTCCCTGCATGTTTGAGGGTCCCGTACGTGAACCAGCAGGCCCACTAGCAGGGCCACGCAGTCCCTTGCTCTGCTGTGCTCATGCCTTTCGTGGGAGACTCCCTCCACACTGAGTGCTCCTTTCTTTTGTGCGCGCCAGTCTCACCTCCATAGAAACCCAGTTCCAGCGTTGCCTTCACTAGAAGGCTGTCTCTGGGTCCCCCCTCCTCTGCAGTCCTGGGGTACACTCCCCCTGTGTCTGTTAGGGCCTCATTACTTTCCCTCTCATTTGGTGCAGCTGAATGTCTGCGCCTTTGCACCTTCCCTCCTCAGCCGAGCACTTTCTGAGAACAGGTGGTCAGACATGTAGCCCCTTGACGCAGCGAGAGCCGCGCCTGGTAGAAACTAGATGTCTGGGAACTAGTGTGGCTGTTACCAGCTCACAGTGCATTGGGTTATTTGTATTTTTCAGCTAGACATGACAGAAGAAGACTGCTTTAGTATATTCCCCCTGGAGACCCTTGTGTACCTGACTCCAGACTCAGAACATGGTATGTGCTGCGCTGCATAGGTCACAGAGCACCCACACCCAGCCACTCTCCCTGGTCCACTCCGCCACTGACCTTTCCTGGACCAATGTTATATTTTGTTCTAGAAAATCATCTATTTCACATAATTTTCAAATTCACTGATATTAAGTTGATCTTCATATTCTCTTTTAATTATTTCACATTCCTCTGTAATTTTAATTTTGACTCCTTTCTGAATCCTAATGTTGATTTGAGTCTTCTGCCTTTTTTCTTGATCAGATATGCCAAAGGTTTGTCTATTTAATTGGTCTTTTCAGAGAATTAGCAAATATTCCACCTTTGTTTTCCATTTCATCAAATTTATTTTATCATTCATTCCTTCTACTTTCCTTGGGTTTAGATTTTATAAAACAGATCTGATCTCATTGGCCTTCATTTCTTCATTAGCTCTTGAAGATGTTGATCTAAACAAAGTTTACATCCTCGGCGGACTTGTGGATGAAAGCATTCAGAAGGTGAGTACATTTTAGGCTGAAAAACTGTACTTTGAAAAGTGGTGCTTACTTTTAGAGGTACCTCCGCTGTAATCGTCTTACCCAGAAGGCCTAAAAAGGCAGAGGGAACAGGAAGGAGGAGCCCATTCTGCCCAGGACGGCCCTGCCATCTGCAATGTGCCCTCTGCCCTCAGCAGCAGAGGCAGCAGCCCTGACCCGACAGAGCCAGTCAGGACAGGATTGGGGGTGTCTGGTAATCGCGTCAGCAGCAGTGGGGAGCATCTTTCCTCTCTCCCCTCCCCCCGTTTCTGGGAGGAGAACTCTGACCTCGACCAGGGAAGCGTTGCCTCAGCATTCTCCCCAGCTCTGTGCTCTTTGTGAGGGAGCAGTTGGCTCCTCCTCAGTCCATCTCCCCTGCCAGCATAAGTCTTATAAGCTCAGCCTCAATATTACTGTCCAGATTCCTTTTGTTGAATTGGAATTTTATTGGAATTAACTGGACTTTTTCAATATGTTTCCATTATAGAAATACTTTATGATAATGTTTATATTTACTAATTAACATAGCATAGATAATAAAGAACGAAGTAATAGTTAAAATGTATAAAAAAGGAATACAGTGAGAAATAAATCTCATTCCGGTCCTTGTCCCCCGCTTGAGAAAACCACTCTTTTCTTGTGAGTCCCTCTTGATACAGCCTATGATCTGTTGGGGGGTATATTCTATATGTATGTTTTTCATGTGTGTGAGAATATTTTACACATTTTTTCATATATGTATGAGATACACATTTAACACAAATGATATTTAACCAAATTGCATTCTAAAAAGGTCAGTGTTTCGTGACTTCATAGTGATAATCAATGTAATAAAAACTAAAATCATCGGGGGGTGCTGTTTCAAATTAAGAGAGATTGAAAAGACATAATAGCTAAGTGCCGTCTCCCACAGCAGAGCCACAGCCCCTCTCAGGCTGTGAAGTCTGGAGGGTCAGTGAGGACGACCTGTAGGTGCGCAGTTTCGACACCTTACCCTATCCTACCTCTCCACCGACATTTAAACTGAAAAATAACTGGCACAGGGATTTGTCAGTGGATTTGTCAGTGGTTGCTAAATAGAGTTTGGCTTATTCACTGAAAAATGCTAAGGAAAACATTTCCTCAGGAGGAGTCACTTTATCTTTAAATGTTCAGAAAACAAACCCCAAACTGTAATCTCCTCCAGGGCAGCATCCAAGTCTTCTAACTTTGAATTGTATACTCTAGTTCAAGTGGTTATAAAGGAATAAACTTTTTAAAGCAATCCTAGCTCATGTATGGGAGGAGCACGGACTTGTGTTCCATGTGAGTCTCAGAGGCAGGTAGTCCAGGGTCGGAACACAGAAAGTGCAGGCCTGTGTCACGCTGGCACCGTGGGTTTGACCACACTGAGGGCGGCCCGTCAGCATTCCAAAGACAGTCACCGAAAGGGCATCGACAAGCTCGTACAAGTGCAGGAGAGGCTGACCCCAATGATGGAGAGTCAAACCTTAAGTCACAAAGAACAGTTGGCAGAACTGAGTGTGGAGACACGAGGCGTCACAGCGGCATGGCCCCTGCCTTCAAGAATCCGAGTGGCTGTCTTGTGGAAGGGCCATTTCACTTGCCTGGCGTGGGTCTGGGAGCACAGAACCTGGAGAAGTGAGTTCGAGTCTCAGAAAAAGAAGAAAAACACACAGAAAACTTGTCTCAAGAAGAATTTCCTATTAACTGGTACTATTAAAATTGGAATAGGTTTCTCCGAAATGTGAGTCTCCTGTCCCAGGGTTTGTCTGTTTCAAGCTCAAGGCCACTTGGGAGAGTCATAGAGGACAAACAAACCTGGATGATGGGCGGCTGGAGTCCACCGAGGCCCCTCCAAACCCGAGCACGTTAATTACCCCAGTGACTAACCCTGTCTTTGATCCTGAAATTGCAAACAGATAGGTGACCTTTCCAGCTTCTTACAAGGTAGCAAATATAATTTAAACTTCAGTTCATGGCTCAAAGACACCTTTAAAGGAACACCAGTTACTTTTCTCTAAATGAGACCCTAAGTGGCCTCAGATTATTAGATTTTTTGAGTTCTCGTGACTCCTTTTTTTGTGCAGTTTTTAGAGCCCTTCCTCTCCCAGAAGCAACAAGAGAGCATCAGCTCTCACACCTAATTCTCCCTTGCAGCTAATGGCATACCTGACTTGAATCCTGTCTCTTCTCCAATTTTCGGCTACCGGTTGGCTATGAACTGAAAGCTCTATGCTCGAATTGAGTCCTCCTGAGTTAGGGCCAGCAATGTTCTCCTCTGACTGACTAGACTGCTTGGGGTTCTGGACACAGATTGTGGCTGCAGATGATGCCTCTTAACTTATTCCCTTCTTGGCTGTAAGTAGTAATGTGTGGAAGATGGTGGATAGACGGCTCCCAAATAAGCGAGGTGTTGCTGCCCAAGCCATTTCTTACTCGGGCCATGTAAATACTCTCCATTGTCTGTGCTCTTAATTATCTGCAGGCTATGCAGATAGCCTTATTTTGAATAGATCTATCATTACTTATGATGAGATGGAAATTAGAGTGGTGGTAATTGGGGATTCTCACAATTTGCTATGCATATTACAACAAGAATATCTTCATGTATTATTTTTAAAAGAAAAATATTTAACTGTGATTTATAGAAGGTGACATTTCAAAAGGCCCGAGAACACTCTGTCAAAACAGCCCGCTTGCCGATCCAGGAATACATGGTCAGACGCCAGAATGGGAAAAACTATCACTCAGAGATACTGACCATCAACCAAGGTACTGCCCACATGGGCCATGCTTGACGTGTGGTGTTAGTTCTGGTGCTGCTTTGCATTGTGTTTAAGTACTAATGGCCCCTGAAACCGTTTCCCCCATGACTGATGTGCCTGGATTTTATTACACACACTTTGTAACATGTATTCTGGCCTCTCAAAGGTGTTTTACATTTTCTCCCTAGTTCCCAGCTATGTTAAATACAGTTGAAATTGTTGCCTTGGCCTAGAATGCGCTGCCTGTAACCCATATTGACTGGTGAATTCCTATTTGTCCTTCCAGATTCAGTTCAAGCATCCTGGCTGCTCCTCTCCCCGCCCCAGGCTGCGTCAGGGCTCCTCCTTAGTGTTCCCGCTGTACTGTATTCCCCTCAGCTGCAGCATTGTCCGTCTGCAGGCCGGTAGCCCTCGGTGTAGACTGAGGCCCTACGGTCAAGCAGGGCCTGTATCTTTGCGTCTGTCTCCCCAGGATCTAATACCATGGGTGGTATGGAGTAGCTTTGCTGAATGAAATATTCCAGAACACCCTTTTCTCATTGGTCATCTAGTTTTCCTTTTCTAGTGTGTGGTCACTGTGTTTTCTGTTTACCCTTCTAACAGTTTTTGATGTCCTGTCCACTTACTTCGAGACTCAAAACTGGCCTGAAGCGTTGAAGAAAGGAGTTTCTTCCAGAAAAGGCTATGCTCTTCGGGACTCAGTGGAGTGACAGACAGCCCACGACTGCAGCTGCAGGAGGCGGAGTTGCTGGAGGGGCCCAGACCAAAGAGCAGGGCAGACGGCACTGGTGGCACACACTGCCTTCACTTGGCATCTTGGGTCTGGAGGAGAATATAGGCTACTAATGGCAGGGACCACATCTGATGCTCTTTAGTATCTCATTCAGTGCCCGGGTCACAGGAGGTTCCCACTCTGTCTTGACTCAAGTCAAAAGTTTACATAAGAGCCCTGACCCGTGTGGCTCAGTTGGTTGGGTGTCATCCCACAAAGCTTAAGGTGGCCAGCTGGATACAGGGTCAGGGCACAGGCCTGGGTTACGGGGTCGATCCCCAGTCGGGGTTTGCACGAGAGGCAACCGACCGATGTTTTTTCTCTCTCTCTTCCTCCCTTCCCCTCTCTCTAAAAAAAGAAATAAAATCTTTTTTAAAAATTATTACATAACAAAGAATTAGCCCTTAAACTACCTGGCTTTTGATGTGTTCATTCATTTTTGTACATCTATTTGTGTACTCTTAAGAGATAGCTTAAATAATATTGTGATATCAAGACGTTTAATTTTCACTAAACTAGCATCGTGAAGCTGTACGACTTTGTCCAAGCCCCTCTCATCATGCAGTTTCCCACTCAGTCACCTGCTGTGCGGGTGCTTTTTGGGGCCGGCTTGTCATCCCAGCCTCGCCCTCTTTAAGCTCCCACAGCATTTTCTTTCCGCCTGTGGCTCCTGCCTTGTCTACCGTGTTCCACATAGGGCATGGAGGGCCTCTCTTCCTACTGTGGCCTCCTTACAGGGCACATTCTGGGAGTATCTTTGTGTCCTTCTGGGCCCAGTGATTGAGAACATAAGCCAAGTGAAAATCTCTGCCTCAGTTTCTTGCACTAGGAGGACGAGTCTCTTCTGCAGTTACTAAGAATGAGCTAATCTAAGCAGAACACTCAGAACAATATGATATGTAAACATAATTGTTAACTGTTACCTACTCACCACTAAATAATGGGATTACAGGTGATTTTTGTTTGCTTCTTTATGTATGCTGCATTTTCTTTGGTGAACATGTTCTACTATTATCAGAGAATGATCATTATTTTAATGCTTACTTCTAGTTTATTACAGAACCTGCTCTAGCAAAACTGAGGAAGTTAACACCAAGTAAACCAAACCATAATACTAACTTTTGGTAAACTTTATTGTAAAGACAAAAAAATACACCATTATTTTATAATGGTTTTTCTCACCCATAAGAACATGGGTGGCAACCAGTGACTTTCTTATAAAAAGATTTTTTTAAGACTCTAATAAGACAATATCTTGTCTTCTGAAGATTTAATAGGGAGAGGGTCCCCTGACAAAAAATTTCCCTAGGGAATCCACAGTCTCTTGACTCAACTGACCCTAAAAAAGTCCACATAGATCAACTTTCTGCCAGTCGGGAGAAGATCTGTTTTCTTTGATCTGCTGTCATGTGCTCACAAGCTTCTAAAACATTAGCCAAAATTAAGGTTTGCTGAATGGTTTTCGCCTTCACCCATATTCTTCCATTCATTCCAAACACTATCTCCAGTGGGTAGAGCTTTCCCAGTTCCTGCAGGATCTCACAGTTGGGAGCTAGCAGCCTGGTGAGGAAGATGGAAGAAATGAAGTTTCAGTGAAGTGGAAGGGTGTGACCTGACTCCTTTAGGAGACCCCTTTTCTAGGCAGTTCTCCCTAGTTGTAAAAGCCGCACCATCACGCCAAGAACAAGGCCCACATGCTGCCCCTTTTCTCTAGAAACTTTACACTTATCAGTGTGTCAGAGGTCACAGTGCGGGCTGGCTTATACACACACAATCCCCCCGTCACCAACCTCACCAAAAATGTATAAAGATTTCCCCCTGCATTGCCAGAGCACCTTAATTCTACAGTTCTTTAAAACTGCAGCTTTTTTATTATCTACAGTGCTAAAAGAACACCTTAAACTTACTTGCCTAACCATGTAAGTCAATCCCTGGTATTAAATTCACTACTTGGAGAGAAGCATCAGCTCTTTCTCCAAGCAGAACCATAAGGGTGCTGCTTGGTTAATAACATGCTTCTCTAATGACCTGAACTAATCATCCAAATCTGCAGAATAAGTAGCAGAGAGTTATTCATGATAGCCCTGAACTTTGGAGTCTAAAACTAAAACCCTTCAATAGGGCACAGCTTCGGGTAGGTAAAAGTGCAAGCACCTAACAAAGAGAATCTGCCTCTGAGAGCCAGGAAATCTACCAGAACAGAACAGCAGGAGCCTTCTGTGAATGTCTGCATAAGCTTGAGGGCCACATCAGCCTAGATGCACTGGCTCCCATTGTTAGAGAAATCTGGTGATTTCATACAACTAAATTGCACCTGTATTAAAGTGACTTAGGGGCAAAGGCCAGTTTTTACATTTGGGCTGAGTATATCAGCTGTAAGGAACAGCTGACCTGGGAGAAAAACCCAGACTCCATATCAACATGGAAACTTCGACTACACCTAAATTCAATGTATTCACACTAATTAAGGATGAAACTAAATCCATAAGTTTACAACTGTGCTTAAATGGATACTGACTTTTTAACTGAGGATATTAAGACATTGTTACGAAGAATCCAAATCCCAGCAGTCAGCTTTCCGAGAAGGTATAATAATAAAAGGCAAGCCAGAAGGCATCCGGACTTACTTTCTAATTAAGCCCAAAGTCACTTTAAAAAGCAGGCCGTCCTGTCCAATCACACCCATTCCGTTGGCTCGTCCACAACTGTCAATGCACACCATCTCTGGTTCCATATCTTTATTAGCGACCACGAATTGTCCATAAATGAGATCTCCAACCTACAATGAGAATGAAAAAACAGTTCATTTTCAATGAGTGAACCATCCTATAGGTGCTACTATTCATTCTTTCCCTTGGGCAGCAACACCAACTATCTACAGTTTTGTGGCTAATGGACTGATTACACCCCAGGACTCCCAGAGTCCCTCTGGAGCTGGATCTTAAAAGAGGGCAACATTAGTGCCCATGCTGGTGTGGCTTGGTGTGGCTCAGTAAATTGAGTGCTGGCCTGTGAACGAAAGGGTCGCTGGTTCAACTCCCAGTCAGGGCACATGCCTGGGTTATGGGCCAGGTCCCCAGTAGGGGGCACGTGAGAGGCAACCACATATTGATGTTTTCCTCCCTCTTTTTCTCCCTCCCCCCGTCTAAAAATAAATAAAATCTTTAAAAAAAATAAAGAAGGCAACATTAATACATGTACCTTCCCCCTTTACCCATCAGGAAATCCCTAGATTGGGAGCTATCTCAAAGCCAGAAAATAAATACCATGTAGGAATACACTGTCCAATATAGTGGCCATCTACCCACATGTATTTATTTAAGTTCACTTTTAAGTTAATTAAAATTCACTATTTAAAATTCAGTTCCTCAGCTGCATTAACCACATTTCACGGTTCAACAGGCCTGTGTGGCTAGGGGCTACCACACTAAGCAGTGCGGATGTAAAACATTAGCATCATCACAGAAAGTTCTATTATGTAGAACTTTCACTGCTCTAGGGAATTAAGGAAGACTGATGGATAGAAGAAACTCCTAGCATGCCTATTATTCAAAGCACAATGGTAATTCATTGACAGTTCTCCACTCAAGATTCACTTTAAAACTTCAGAGTTGAACTTCAGAATGATGCAACTAAAGAAGCTGAAAGTGAACTTGTTCTGTGAAGTACCTGTTAAATTGGTGACTGTAGGAACTTGAAAGAAACAAACCATTCCCTGCCTTTCAGAACATTTGGTGTTAGAGGGCAATGGGGATGTACATGTGAACAGCAGATTTCATTCACAGCCAAACCGAGTTGTTAGAGAAGTTACAAGAAAAAGCGTTTGAAGATAGGGGTGGTTTTACAGAGGTGCTGGTATTTGGCCTGGGTCTTAAAGGATGAGTACGTGTTCCACAGGCTGAAAAGGGGCTAGAGCAATGCGGACAGAGCATTAGCATGAGCAAACAGCAGGGGCAAGAGGTTGTGAGTTCAGTCATGCTGTTCAATAGTTTGCTGTGGTTCAAGCATAGCAGTGTGGAGACGTAATTATGTATGAGGGAAGACTTCTGGAGTATAATGCCAAGGAAATCTGTAGGCTTTGAAGAGTGTGTGAGGCTGTCAGCTCTCGAAAGCCTGGGTGGAGGGTTAACAGTGTACAGGCAGGGATGTTAATGACAAGGTAACTGACTAACTCCAGTCCAGAGGTACCAAAGGCCTGAACTCCCAAAATGGAGATGTAGGAGTGGCCTTAGAGATAGAATCAAATAGGATCAGTAAGATTAGGCAACAAAAGACAGATGCAAGGTGAGTGAGAAGGGGCAAAGCAACCACAAAATTTCTGGCTTGGGTGCACAGGAAGAGTGTGGCTATGCTACCTGAAAAGCCCAAACAGAAAACTTGAAGAAACAAGACTACTCTTCTGTCAGCTCCAAAGAGGGATTGATGGGAAACCCTGATGGGACTGCAGCTGTGACATGCCAGTTTCAAGACCTACAGTCAGGACAAATGGATGGCTGACAGGGCAATTGGCACCACTGGTCCCTCCTTCCTCCCTAAGCCAATGGCTTAGTTCCTTGTCCAGTGAATATGGATAACAGATAACAGTGGGGAGAACAGACATAACCTTTCAACTCTGTAGAAATGGAACAACTCCCAACGTAGCAAGTGTAACGTAGGTCCCAATGTGACTCTGATCCCAAAGCAGAAGCAACAAAAGGGACTCTTGCAGCCTGGAGTGATCACACACACAAATGCTCAGAGATGACCCCATAGAACTGGGAAAATAGGTCATGCTTTGGAGACAATCCAGGTAGCCTTAGGAATTCAGGATGCTTTTCTTCTTTTGAAACCAAAGTTTCCCATCATTACCTGTACATTTGGTCTGTTTCTTTTAGTTGCACCTTCAAATGCCAAGTAAGACAAAGAAGCTGGCTCACTCCCTCCGACATCCACTTTGAATATATCTCCAGATTTAGCTGTCACTATGCCAATCACGTGGTCTCCTTTCACTGGGACGTACTACAAAAGAAATCAGAATGAAAAAATAACCATAAATGACAATCATTTCCAAAATCTCTTGGAAGATATCTTCAGCAAGTCCTTAGTGGTTACTTTATTACATTTGTCATTGGAAATATTTTGAAGTCCAAGTTTACACTTTAATACAAATTTTACAACAAATTTGGGCATACTGCACTTTCATTAAAAGAAAAACCACCACATCATAAAACTCTCAGATTGACAGCTTCTAATAGTCTGTTCATTTGAGCTGGTATCCCATACCTCTTCAGCATCCTTATCACGTCCCTAGCCTCTGTAAGTCCAGTGGCACAGGCGGTCCTCGCCAATAAGGAAGGCCATTTCATTGTTAGACAATTTTCCCTATATGAAAGTTCTTATTGTTAAGAGAATTTGAGCTCCCTGTGACATCCACTCTTCGAGCCTCTAAAGCCTGGTTATTCCTGATCGTCGGGATTTTGAAGACAATGGCCATTTCCACACTCCTTTATCTCCTGGTTGCCCTTCTCGGGGCACGCTCCAGTTTGTCAGAGTTCCTCGAAAGGAGGCACAGTAGCGGGCACAGACATAGTGGCTCTAGGCTAGCCTTAACAGAGGGCTCCAGGGCCCCCTCCTTGCCTCTTCTAAGAAGTCTACCTAGCGCTGGGATAAGATACCACTATCACCGCAACACTACTCCCCCGGAGTCCCATCTCACCCGTTTCTGCTGCGAGTCCACCCAGTAAACGCCGCCGCCGCCGCCGCCGCTGCCGCCGCTGGCCTCCTTGTGACGGAGGCGGCCGCACTTGGTGACCAGCAGGCGGTCGCCACAGCGCCGCAAGCCCGGACCACACACAACGCGCACCCGGGAGCGCACGCCGGCATTTAGGCGCAGCGGTCGCTCCCCTGCATTTCCCGGGCCTTCGACATCCTCCTGCTCCGGCAGCAGCAGCTCCTCACCCGGGAGCACCACCTGACCTAGCACGGTGCGCGCCGCCCGCGCCTTGCTACCCGCAAGGGACTCGGCCGCAACGGCCGCCGCTTCAGTCATCCCGGGCGCCACCGAACAGTTTCCGGCTTCCGCTTCTGGCACCGCGTCCAATCGCCTGCCCGCCCAAGTCTTTCCGTTTTCTGCGGTAGCTGTCTGTTGGGCTTGAGCCTATGTCCTTGAAGCCTCATCCCTATGGGCAGGCGGGTCCCCCAAAAGTGGCTGTGATATTGTCTCCAGCCAGGGGCCCATGCTGCAGTCGGTCTGCGTGTCGGTACGAGAAGCACTCGGAGTCGACTGCGGAGCCTCTACTTCCGGTGTCTGGGGTCGCACCGTCGGATGCGGGACTCCAACCCTAAAGGTTCCGTGGGAACAATGGGAACTGAGCTGAGGCCGTACAGTAGGAGTTGGCCCTTCTTTCCTACTCCGCCCTCGGACGGAAAAGTATTTTCCTTTCCAAAATAAAACCTTCTGGTTGTTTGTTGCTAGAGAAGCTGTCTTTTCGCATTGTGGAAAACACAAAGAAGAATGAAAAAATAAAATGCATTTGCCTTGCCCCATTTGTCTCCCTTGCTAGGCCATCAGCTGGTTCTTATTATTTGTCACCCAGAGTCTGGCACGAAATAGGTAATAACCTGAGAAAAGGATGCTAACATTTCAGTGTGTATTTCTCTCTAGCCTTTTTCCTTGCAAAATAGACACATATCACATGCACATTTCTACATAATTGAGCTATCCCCACATGGCCTGGGAAAAATCAGTAACTGCAGTTAAATCCTCGCTGCTACTTTCTCTGGGGCGCACTTTAGTTGCTGATGTGAGAATTCCAAATCCATAGCACTTCAGGTATATTCTTCAAGACTTTTAGGGCCCTTACTTGAAATCAGTTTCCTCTGTTAACTGGTACTTCCAAGCAGCTCTTGGGTCACATTCCCCAGCGAGGGTGAAAGCTGCTGGGGGCTGGGAAGGCTTGGCTCTGCTCTTATTTTTGAGGCAACTGCTTCCATTGTGAATTTTTCGATTTTTAGGATGTTTAAGACAGATCATCTCTAACACCCCGTCAGAATCTGGCAACATACTGGGGAGCCTACTGAATAAGGGGCCAACTGAAATGTAAATTTTGTTACATTTAGTCGGATTGTGAGAACTGATCTTGGTTGGTTACATGAGAATACCAAGTGTTAAGGTTGCTGTAACAGCCTGATCAGAGTGTCATCCCTGAAATTACAGGCTACAAAATGGTTACCTCCCTTTGTGGGGGAGGAAGGTAGGGGCCAAGCTAGGTACTATTTGACTGAACCTTTAACATTTTTTTTAGTTCACTGGTTTCTAAAAATTACAAACTAACTACATGTTGATTTATGTATGTACATTAATAGCAAGAGTCCATGGAAGGCATGTTCAAGTAAAGAACTGAAACATAAATGCTCAGAATTATCACTGCCCAAATAAACGTCTCCTTGCTACAGGTGTTTTTAATCACAAAGAGTTCTGGTTTAAAGGTTACAAGAAGAGCAGACATAAGGACCAGGCATTGCCCCAGTACTGAGAGAGAGCACCCAAGGAGAGCCCCTTCCTCTTGGAAGAACTGACTGACGCCTTGTTAGGGAGGGCATAGCCATAGCTCATTAAATGGCAAGAAGTGACTGGGAATCTGTGCCAGTAGAACTTGCTAGAAATTGACCCTCCAGAACTTGCTGGCACTTTGAGGGTGCTATTCCTGGGTACGTGTCCCCTGGAAATATGTTACAAAACTGCTGGATAGGGTGCTAGGGAAAACATGGCTGAACTGCCCTGACACAGGGGCTTACCAGAGATCACACTGGAGCCAGGAGGCAAACCCATTCCTCCTGCAGGGCCTCCGCAGGGCCTTCTACCTGTAAAGCTTATGTTCACAATACACAGCAAAGGAAAACTATGTTAAAGGCCCAGATCCATTTTCACAGAGCAGGCAGTGAAAGGTGAGTTGAGAACTGAATAGCAATACATTGATAACTAGCCCAAGGTCTGGTGAGGTTGTAAGATCAACAAACATCACTGACAGCAATAAAATAGAGTCTCCCTAGGCTCACATGGCTTCATAGGTGAATTCTACCAAACATGTAAAGAGTTAAGGACCATTTTTCATAAATTCTCTCAAAAGGAGAAGAGGGAACACATGCCAACGCATTCTACGAGGCCAGCATCACCCTGTATCGAGCCAAAGCTACCACAGGAAAAGAAAACGACAGACCAATATCCCTTATGAAAGAGAAAGAAGGGGCACTTGTGGACAAACATCCCTTCCATTAAGGTCATGACGTGGAAGTCACATACATCGCTTCCATTTATATCCCATTAACTAGAACTTTGTCCCTTCGTTACATCTAGCTGCAAGGGATGCTGTGTGGCCATGTACCTGGCTAAAAATAAGGGATTTTATTAAAGGAAGAGGGGTGAGCAGGTGCTGGGAGATAGTCTGTCACAATGACGCCCAATGGTCTGACACCATCCCCTCCCCAGTCTCATTTCCCTCACCGCCTTCTTATGTTCAGTCTGTTAGAGACAGAGTGAGCTATTTCACTCTCCGCAACAGTCAGGTTTCATGACGTCTCTCCTCTTTAGCTTGCTCACACTCTACTGTGCCCTGGGATGCTGCTTCTCCTCTCCATGCTCTGGAAGCTGAACTTTCCTTCACAGTCCACCTCACCTGCCTTCACTTATGATGAGTCTTCCTCCCGAACTCCCACAGGCTCCTTCATCTGTCCTTTTCCAGCAGCACACAGAGTGCTGCCTTGTCTTCTCACAGTTTCCACTGCTCTTCCCTCCTAGTGGGAAGAGACAGCTCCCATGTTCAAATCTGAGTTTTGTCATAAAAAATGCTCGTGAACTTCAACAAAGTACCTAAATGTCTCACAGCCTTGGAATTACTAGTAAGATGATATTAATGCTCACTCCGCAGAGCTGGTGTAAGGATTAAATGAGGTTATATGTGTAAAACCCCCAGAATGGTGCCAGGGACCAAAGTGGATTCCCTCCTTCTCTGCCTCTGTCTACCCCCAAATAGCAGGTCTCCTGAGATTAGGACATCTCTTCTTTTTCCTCCTCTTTAAAAAGTGGTTGTCCAGTATCTAATGGGCCTCCGGAATTTATTAATTCACTCAACACATTTTCTAAGCAACCACTATCTGTCAGGTGTTCCTCTGGAGATAGAGTGGTGAACATGTCAGAAAAATGCCTAGACTTTCTTTTTTTTTAAGATTTGTTTATTTCTAGAGAGAGGGGGAGGAAGGGAGAAAAAGAGGGAGAGAAGCATCAATGTGTGGTTGCCTTTCACGGACACCCCCACTGGGGACCTGGCCTGCAACCCAGGTATGTGTCCTGACTGGGAATCAAACTGGTGCTCAATCCACTGAGCCACACCAGCCAGGGCAGAAAAATGCCTAGACTTTCAAATATACTCTAGAGAGGAGAAAACAATGAACAATTAAACAAAATAAAAGAACACATTGACTGTAAAAAATGTTAAGTATCATGAAGAAAATAAAATAGGGCACTTGGCAGTGATGGACTGGCAATGAATGCACAAGTGAATGAGTAGGTAAATGGGTGGGCGCACAACTTTGTTGCTAAAATATGGCTGAGCCTGTCTAAGTTCTTCTGAGCTGCTACCCAAGGCTTGTGGGTGAGTCTCCTCTCCTCTTCCTCCTCCTCCTCCCCAGGCCAGCTCAGCAAGGCTGGCAAGCAACTAATCGTGGTGACCAGCCTGGCCAACAGGGGTTCATACAGTGTGGCTGTCCACAGTGCCAGTACAGGGCGCAACCAAAGAACCGAGTGCTCTCTGACCAGGTTAGAGCCCACCTCCCCTGTGCAAGTTCAGGGCCTCTTCAGACCTGAGAAATACAAAAAGCCCATGCCACTGTAAGGTGCAGGGAGCACATGCCTCCAGTTCGTCCCACTGCTTGAGTTACCTTCCAGTCCCCATCACTGTGCCCACCTGCTTCTGTGTGGGCCCCAGCTTTGTGCCAGGTCTGGTGCCAGATACCCGGCAGACCTTCTCTCAAAGGCACACAGTTCCCCCTCTAAGCTGAGCCTTATCATAACCATTTCACCCTTGCGTTTCAGAACTATAACTTAATTGACATGGGGTATACTACTAAAATATACGATGTGGCGGGGTCCATTTTCAAAGCTTGCACACTTTCTGCTACATGATACTGTTTGCATTTTCAACATGAGTTTAGGCTATCCACTCATGATTCCTAATGGGCCCAAAGCAGTTTTGCAGGTTTTCTTCTATTTCTTGCTGCTGGGCCCAAGCCTGGGCCTGTCTGCCTCCCATCTTGGAGTTGCCTCCATCTACTCTTTTGCACTAAGACTGGTTGTAAAATGGGTCTCAATTCCCCAGCCAATACTTACCTTCTGCTGGCTTCATCCAAAGTCAGGTCCCTTGGGTGTGAGAGGTCATGCTAATTCTTCCCGGAGAAATGGACTGAGGGTAATGACACAGTGAGCATGGGGCTGTCACTGAACTTGCAATGACCTACTGATCCCTGTAGTGAAATTCCTGCTCCTCTAGCCCATGGAACAGAAACATCTGGTCTCTGCATTTATTCTCCAGGTTGAGGGTCATCAATCCCCTACCCCCAAACTTCCCTCCGACCCCACTGGAGTGGAGACCTTGTGAACTGTTCCCAGGGGGAACAGTATATCATCCCGTTAGCCCTGCTGACAGCCTTCTGCCTAATCGCCAGACCTTTGTTCATCCGGGATCAGTTTCAAGGGCATTGCCTCCCTGGTGAGCGTAGGGTGCATCATCACACCATGATTTCCTGAGCTGATCTTTTTAGGTATTCAGTGGTTTCCAGGATTTTCCTTCAGCAGGGGTAATGATTATCAGTATAGCCTTGAGAATCCAATATACTTGGATTCAGAGTGGAATCCACTACACTCCCCAGCTGTGTGACCTTGGGGAAGACATTTCATCTCTCTGAGCTACGGTTTCTTTGCCAATAAAATGGGGGTGGTAATAAAAATACTACCTCCTAGGGAAGGAAAGGGATAATTATCTGAGCTTCACTTTTCTCATAATAAAAGAGTTGGGGTTGGAGTCCTTATGTACTAAGAGTCTTTGAGTCTTTGTTCTGATAGCTTTGATGCCATAGGTGTTTAGAGGAGAAAGAGATGCTTGTATTGAGTAAGGAAGACTTCTTGGTAGAGATGGTGCTGGGCCAGCATTCCAGGTTTGCATCCTATTGGACTTGATCAAGATATCCATCTGGAAAGTTTATCTTGCCCTGCCTTAGCCCCTTTACTCTAAACTTGGATTCTTTCATTAATGCCCATTTCGTTAGGCCTTGTGTTTTACTGGTTGTATTGTGATGAACAGAGATTCTTCTCTAACTATATGCTTCCTTGCAGGTCTGTGTGTACTGGAGTCTGACCTCCCTGCTTGGAAAGAGGCAGTACTGGAGTTTGCACTTGCTGTTCCCAAGCTGATGACATAATACATGACTATTTCAAACAGCTTGAGGTGCATGGCTTCGACCAAGAAGATGCCTGGGATATACCTGCTGTTTCAATTGTTAAGGCCATGTCCAACTGCCCTTGATCATTTTGTTCATCTTGTTCCTAACAAATAATTCTATTTGATGGGCAGAACCAATGATGTCAAAGACATCAGGAGTGAATCTGATGCCCTGAAAATATAAAAGCCTGAACAGAAAAGCCAGTGTTTACATTTCACACATGTTGCATTAGAATACATCAGTTGGGAAATAGTTTTTTAAAAACACATAGTCATTGGATAGGAAAGAATTAGTAAATTTCTCCCTGCTTGCTTGATGAGCTATATCCTAAGTTTATCACAGGGACATGTGATACCTGAGGCTAGGGGAAACCTTTTGCCAATTGTTTACTTTTGTTGGCATCTAAAAAGAGCATCAGAAGCCAAGGAGTTCAGAGGATGCTTTAGGCATTTCTGATGAACTGATATCTGTGAATTTCAGGAACTTAGGTTGAAATTCTTTTGTTTTCAAAAATAGTACTACATAGAAATTGATTTTTTTCTATTCAAAATGAGTTTTTATTTATTTTTAAAATATATTTTATTGATTATACTATTGCAGTTGTCCCATTTTCCCCCTTCACTCCCCTCTACCCTGAACACCCCCACCCACCCACATCCCCCCTTTAGTTCATGTCCATGTGTCATACTTATAAGTTCTTTAGCTTCTACATTTCTCATACTATTCTTGCCCTCCCCCTGTCTATTTCCTACCTACCGTCTATGCTACTTATTCTCTGTACCTTCCCCCGTCTCTCCTCCTCCCACTCCCCTGTTGCTAACCCTCCATGTGATCTCTACTTCTGTAGTTTTGTTCCTATTCTAGTTGTTTGCTTAGTTTGTTTTTGTTTTAGGTGTGTTTGTTAATAATTGTGAGTTTTCTGTCATTTTACTATACATGTTTTTTATCTTCTTTTTCTTAGATAAGTCCCTTTAACATTTCATATAGTAAGGGCTTGGTGATGATGAACTTCTTTAACTTGACCTTATCTGAGAAGCACTTTATCTGCCCTTCCATTCTAAATGAAAGCTTTGCTGGATAGAGCAATCTTGGATGTAGGTCCTTGCCTTTCATGACTTGGAATACTTCTTTCCAGCCCTTTCTTGCCTGCAAGGCCTCTTTGAGAAATCAGCTGTCTGATGGGAACTCCTTCGTAGGTTACTGCCTCCTTATCTCTTGCTGCTTCTAGGATTCTCTCCTTCATTTTAATCTTGGATAATGTAATTATGATGTGCGTTGATGTGTTCCTCCTTGGGTCCAACTTCTTTGGGACTCTCTGAGCTTCCTGGACTTTCTGGAAGTCTATTTCCTTTGCCAGATTGGGGAAGTTCTCCTTTATTATTTGTTCAAATAACTTTTCCACTTGTTGCTCTTCCTCTTCTCCTTCTGGTACCCCTATAATTTGGATGTTGGAACGTTTCAAGATGTCTTGGAGGTTCCTAAGCCTCGCCTCATTTTTTTTTTTTATTTCTTGTTTCTTCATTCTTTTCTGTTTGGTTGTTTCTTTCTTCCTTCTGGTCCACACCATTGATTTGAGTCCCAGTTTCCTTCCCATCACTATGGGTTCCCTGTACATTTTCCTTTATTTCACTTAGCATAGCCTAAATTTTTTCATATAATTTGTGACCAAATTTAACCAATTCTGTGAGCACCCTGATCACCAGTGCTTTGAACTGTGCATCTGATAGGTTGGCCATCTCTTTGTTGCTTAGTTGTATTTGTTCTGGGGCTTTGATTTGTTCTTCTGTTTGCGCCAATTTTTTTGTCTTAATGCGCCTGTTACATATGAGGGGCGGAGCCTTAGGTGTTCACCAGGGCAGGGCAACCCAGTCACTGGGTTGTGACGCTGTATGTGGGGGCGGGGTCCGAGAGGGAACAATGGTGCCTGCTCTGCTCTCTGTCAGATTTCAGTCCTTTCTGCCACTTCCCCCAAGCAAACTGGGCCTTTCTGGCACTCATTCCCATTTGAGTGGGCTTGTGCACATTCTAGGACCCTGTGGGTCTCTCCAACAAACTCTCCTGTGTGGCTGGGAGTCTCTCCCACAGACGCCTCAACCCCCACAGGTGTTTTCAACCGGCGTTTTAAGGCTTTATTTCCCGATGCTGAAACCCTACCTTACACAGTCTGTCTCATTCCCCAGTTTTGCCTGGTTTATTTGCGAGTGAATGTGGGACCTCCCGGTCCACCAGCCGCCTTGTGCACAGCGCCTCGCTTCACAATCGCCGCCTCGCTGGGCCCGCCCACTGCCACCCTGCGCCCAGGGTCCACCAGCCGCCACCTGCGGTGAGCAGGGTCTGCCAGCCACCATTTTGCTGCAACCCCTCTCCACCCGGCCTCCCAACTCCAACCCTCCTATGGGTCTGGATGAATGTGTCTATTTTAACTCCTTGGTTGTTGGACTTCCACACAGTTCAATTTTCTGTCAGTACTGGTTTTTTGTTTGTTTGTTTGTTTCTAAATTTTTGTTGTCCTTACTTTGGCTGTGCGAGAAGGCATAGTGTGTCTACCTACACCTCCATCTTGGCCGGAAGTCCCTCGAAATAGATCTTTATAGACTGTGAATTGGAATCAATTCTTTGCTAAAATGGTTGTATTTATCCTTGGCCGGTGTGGCTCTGTGAACTGAGTACCGGCCTGTGAACCATAAGGTCGCTGGTTCAATTCCAGTCAGGGCACATGCCTGGATTGCGGCCAGGTCCCCAGTTGGGGGCATGTGAGAGGCAACTGATCACCAGTGTTTCTCTTCCTCTCTTTCTCCCTCCCTCCTTTTCTCTCTAAAAATAAATAAATAAAGTCTTTTAAAAAATGGTTGTATTTAAAGACCCTCAAAGGCAGTGGGTAAATAGAAACAAGCACAATTACAGTTGTTTTACCTTTAGTGCTTTCTCAGTTACCCTCCAGTGTTTTTGCTGTTTTTACTGATGGGCTGTAAAATCATGGTAACTTGTTTTAGTCCATATGTAACTTACTCTAGGTTTTAGTAAAAATTATTTGGAATAAGTAAGCACTCACATTTTAAGTAGAAGCGTAAGGAAAAGACTCTGGCATTGCTGAATGACCTGCTCTGTGCGTTACAACCACTGCTACCTTAAGTTTGTGGCCATCTTTACTTTTCAAGACTCACCAATATCTAACTGCTAGAAGTATGTGTAAACCTACAAAATATCTTTGTTCCCATTTGGCTTCTCTACAATCTCTAAACTGTCAGTGAAAAGTTCTTATTCAGTCTGGGAGCTATAGTGTGTTAATTTTGATTTGCCTGAGCTGTGAAATCTGGTTGTCCTGAGCCAGCAGAAACTGTCACAGAGCAGGGGTTTTTCTGTTGGAAGTGTAACTTAAATACCTTGGAATATATAACCTTTAAAATGGAGTTTTATTTTACCCATTTAAAAAGTTAACATTGGTGAATGTGTCATGGCCAAAGTTTGGTAGACCATAACATTTTAGCCATTGGCCATAACTTGGGGGTCAAGCGGAGGACCTCTATTAAGTATTTGTTGCAGCCAGAAGTTGTGGGTCCGAAGGGACATTATTAATCAGAAGACAGACCTCTACCCCTTTTGCGCTGTGGGGACAACATGGGGAGTATCTCCAGAGGAATGGCTGCCTTGATCTTCTCTGAGCTCAGAACGCTTGCTTCTTAAGCCCTTTATTTCAATCAGTTCATGCGCAGGAGAGCTGAATACCAACTTGATGGCGGGAGCACTTGCTGATGGTTCAGCCCTTTCATTCATTCCCATTCTACAAACATCCTTCAGATCTGTCCTCACAGGAGAGATCTTTCTACAAAGACCCTCCAGATGTTCCCTCGGTCACCAAATGTAAGCTTTCTGCAACACAGCTCTTGATCAAGGCCTAGAAGAGCTGTCAGTCCCTATATATACTCCACCTTGTAACTCGAGCTTTCCTTTATTGAAGATTCTCCTTCCCTTCCTCAGAAACACCCAGTTCCTGTTACCCCTTTTCTGCAGAGTTCTATGTATTTATCTCCAACAGCGGCGGTGAAGGGCCTTGCGTCTGTCATGCCCTCCGTGCCTGCCTGGCAAATGTAAGCAGGGCTGACCTTGGGTTGTTGATTGTAAGGTAGATTTGATTCAGGTCTCTAGCTCCCCTCTAACTCCTGGCTGGTATTCATGCTCCTTCCTTCAGAGAGGAAGGCTTTGGCCTTGATAACTCTTGACCAGTAGCTGTGAATTGGGCCGATATTCAGGACACCAATATGCCTCGTTTTCCTGTACGGGCCTGGGGTTTTTAGTGCCCAAGTCACCTGAGACCTTAGACTCCCAGGCTGAGCAGACGGTATACTAAGCCACTCACTTTGTACGACGTGCACCTACTATGGCAATTCCTTCCCCGCGCTGATCTCAGTGTTGAGGGGACAGCAGTACATAATCACGCCCAGCCTCTTTGACTAGGCAGGCCTGCGCACCCGCAGGCACACATAGTCACTGACAACTACAGACTGACTGTCGCACGCGGTGCCCTGATGCTAATTGTCCGATACAGCCCGAGCCCCGAGCATCCTCGGTAGCACGCACACCGCGGTGGTTCGGTGTTCCCGCTTCCGCGGTCCCCAGCGGATGAGAACCGAGGGGCGGTGCAGGTTTCCCAGCCGGCGTGGTTAGGCAGCCGCGCGCCGGAAGTGGCGGCAGGAGCGGGAGCGCTGAGTTGTAGGCCGGCGGGGCAGCATCCCGCAGCCGGGGGCGGGGGCGTTGGTCATGTTTCCCTTCGGGCCGGGTAGCCCAGGAGGGGACCGGGCGACTAGAGCCCGGGCTGAGGAGCCGTCACCCCACGAGGGACCGGCAGCAGCTGCCGGACCGCTCCCTTCCCCGCCCGTGCCGCCACCGCCCGGGGCCGTCGCAGCCCCTCCCCCGTCGCCCGGCGGGAGCCCTCGCAGCCCTGGCGGCCCCTCGCTGTCACCGGCCGCGCGCGCTGGGGAGCTGGAGCAGTCCGGAGCCCCGGAACCTGCCGCTTTCGCCCTAGGAGAGCCGTCACGGTCTTCGCCTCCGCGCCGGAGACCCGGGCCGGACTGCGGGGCCGGGAACCGGGGCCGGCAAGCCCTCGGCACCGGCCGGGGAGGCCCAGGCGCCCGGCTCTTTGGCTGGCTGAGAGAGCGCAGCCTGGGCCGCGGGCTGTTCGTGGACCCGGCGCGGGACAATTTCCGCACCATGACTAACCTCTATGGCTCCATCCACCCCGCAGACTCGGTGTACCTCAGCACTCGCACCCACGGTGCCGTCTTCAACCTCGAGTACTCGCCCGACGGGTAAGCGCGGCCCCTCGGAGGGCGGGTATTCGCCTCAGCCTGGCGGGGCTGCCCAGGGTTAGCTCGCTCGGCCTGGGCCGGGCTCTACCCGTTTCGGGCCGCTAGCCTTCATCCCCAGGCACTTTCTGGAGTGCTCAGTCGCTGTTGGAGGCCCCATCCGACCCCTTGAGGTAGGCCGCCCGGTGCCTCATCTGCTCGCCTTCGGGACGCCCAGGCTCGGTCTAGGAGAGTTGCCTAAAGCCCTCCGGTGGGGCTGTCAGAGCCAGTCCAGAACTGGGATCTTCTGGCACACAGTAAATGCTCAGTAAATACACTGAATAAAGGCCCACTCTTTCCTTGTCCCCCTAGGCTTGAGGTTTTTTCATCTAAGTTTGTACCGAGGGTGGGAAGCCTGCAGGTGCCCTGTACCCTCTGCCTGACTTACCCGGAGGGGACAAGTGCGCATTCATTTGCTCCAGTGAGATGCGAAGACTCAGCCAGAGGTGTCTTACGTTGTGGGGCATTTGTGAAGTTCCCAGGCTACGTGCTTCTGTTAAGGGGGTCCAGCCTTTTTCTGACTGATTAAATATTTCATGTTTGTCCTTGATTTTCTTTTGGGCCAATATTCAAAATATTATCTTTTTAAAACTTTGTTTAGTGAGTATGCAAACAAACTTCACAGCAATCAGTGGAGAAAAACTTAAACACACTGTTCCACCAGGAGACAACATAATTAATATAACTTATCTAATCAAGGCCTCTTGATTTCTAGTCATTTGCTTAGTTATTCATTCATTCCTCCATTCAGCAAATAATTGTTGGCCACTGGTGTGTTCCAGATGGAGAGGTTGCAGTGATATGCAGAACCAGCTAATGGCACCACTTTCATTGAGCTTGAGACCCGTAGGTTCAACCCAATGTTGCTAACCATACCAAATGATTCGTAATGTGTATTTACAAATTGAGAATGGGGTGTTTGGGGCTTTCCTGAGGAAGGGACACTTAACGAAGATCAGAGAAATGAGTAGAAGATGAGATAGTCAAGGCAGGATTGGGGAGGGGATAGAAGTAATTCAGATGGAGGAACTGGCATTTCAAAGGACTGGTGAGGAGGAGCAGTGTATCACATCTGAGGAGATGGATTAGCAAAACAAACAAACAAAAATGTGCTAAAGAAAGACCTAAAATATTCTGAGGAAGGAGCAAAGCAACAGAATCCGGAATCACAGTGAACAGGGACAACCTATTCCATTTCACTGATGCAAATGCTTCTTAATTACACTTGATGCTGGGATCTCCTTATAGCAGATGGGTGGAACTTGTAGCAATGAATGTGCATCGATCACATATAGGAAAAATTAGTGAGAAACTATTTTGCTGAAGTGTATTCATGGAACTTCCTCTATCCTCTCTTTTAACCAAGCCCTATTCTTAAGACTCCTCCCAAAATACCTTGAGTCTGTTCCTCATAAACATTCGGCTCCTCTGTTCCCTGCCTCCTACCTACTCTGTCGGCCTTCAGAAGCAGACATTTGGGTTCTTTGGAGGTGAAGTTATAGGTAGAGAGTGAGAGGGATAGAATGAGTTATGATGAAGAAATTCCATTGCCTAGTGATATTAGAATGAGGAGTATATTACTAATAGTTCTGTTTGAATCTGGACTATATTTTCCCATAGAAACATTTATGTAAAAGGTGGTTAGGTACTCTTAAATAATCCAATAATCCAGTATACTTAATCCAATAATCTTTTAATTGCCCAGTTAATATATGCTTATTATAGAAAACCTGGGCAATAAATGAACAAAAAGAAGGTAAACAAAACTTAGGATCCCAGAGATTAATTGGATATCCAAGGAAATTTCTTCTTTGTGTATGTTTATCTTAATGTAAATGTGGAATCATGCTGTTTTGTAGCCTGCTTTTTTAATACAATATATTGTAAGTGACCTATGTTAATACACATATTTCTACATTTAAAAAAATTTGTATTTAAGTAAAACCTATATAAACAAATATTTTAGATTTATGTCCTTACAATAAATCCCTGAAATGCACTAAAGGTTATGAAAACTTAGATACCTGTTATTAAATTGTTCTCTTTGAAGATTATACCAGTTCTCAGTTCTATCAGACAAGTAGGAAAGTGCTTGTCTCCCCATACCCCTGCCAACATTGCATATAGCTATTCTTTTTCATCTGTGTCAAGGTGAAAGGTGAAAATAGTTCAGTGTTTTAATTCTTTAGTATCTTGCTACATGTACTAATATAACCCAGGTTTTCATGGGACTGAAAGTAATTTTTAGGGAAAAAATGACCTGTGTTAAATGACATAATTTGTTATGTCCTTCAGTTATATGAGTTAAATCACCTAACTGGGTACCATAACCACTGTCACTTACAAGGACTTCTCAGTACAGAGAAGCAGAGGTGATACTGAAGGTAATGATTAAAATTATAAATTTAATAGAGACTGGACTAGAATTTGGCAGTAAAAAATAAATGAAAGGATACATAGAAGATAATTTCTTTATTTTTTAAAAGATTTTATTTATTTATTTATTTATAGAGAGAGGGGAAGGGAAGGAGAAAGAGAGGGAGAGAAACATCAGTGTGTGGTTGCCTTTTCAATGCCCCCTCCTGGGGACCTGGCCCGCAACCCAGGCATGTGCCCTGACTGGGAATTGAACTGACAGCCTTTTGGTTCACAGACCAGTGCTCAATCCACTGAGCCACACCAGCCAGGGCAGAATATAATTTCTAAAGAAATCCAAAAATGTTTTAAGCAGTAGCAATATTGTCGGAATAAGTGTATTACCTCCTAAGATGACAATTTGAAAAAGGACATTTGTTAATATTAATAAATTAGATAGATAATAATATGTGGGACTGTCTCAAGCAATTCCTCTCTGAGAAGACATTAGGCACTGCTGAAGAGAGAATTAATGTATTGGAAAATAGAAGTGAAGAAATTATCTAAAATGTGGATAGGAAACACAATGGTTAAAAATATGAAGACAGTTTAGTGACATGATAAATAGAAAAAGCTTACCATATATTTGGTTAATTCTTGAAGAAAATGAGATATTGAATAGATAAGATAATGGGTCAAAAGCACATTCAAACGAAGAGGTAATAGCTGAGAACTTTCCAGTATTGAAAAAAAGCACTAAGCCATGATTTAAGAAGCCCAGCACTCTCAAGTAGGAATCCTCTCAAGACATGTAATGAAACTGCAGGACAACAAATGTAAAAATCTTAAAAGCTAGAGAAAAAGACCTTAAAAACAGTAGCTATAAAGGCAATTAGACAAAAATAATAGTGTAAATCAGAACACAGTGGTGATTATTTTTAGGATGCTGGGGGAAAAACCCTGCCGATTTAGATGTCTATACTCAGCAAGGGTGGGTTCTTTGGCTCTTGTCAAGAACTAAGTTGAAATAAATACCATTTATACAAGCAAAGCTGAGTGAGTTTGCTACCACACCTTTAATCATGGAATTCTACATTCAGAGAGAATAAAATGTTTTCAAATGGAAGGTCTGAGATAGTAGAAGGAATGAAGAACAAAGAAAATGGAAAATATGTATGTAAAAATAATTTTGTCTTTTGGGATTAACAAAGAACTAAAATAGAAGACAACAATAGCATATATGTTATGAAGGGATGCTCTAAATTCCTTACGTTTTTGGAGGGGGAATTATATTAACTTTAGGCTTTAATAAGTTTAGTGTGGATTTAAAAATTTTCAAGGCAACCACCAAAAGAGAAGAAAAAAATGATTTCTAGACTAGTAGAAGAAAAATATGGAATAAAACAATTCTGAAAGGAAATAAGAAAGGGAAAGAAAAAATAGAAAAGGTATAATAAATAAGAAGCACAAAGAATGGCTAAAAATAAATCCATACTACTAATTAATAATAAATGTGGAGGTACTAAATGTTCAGAAGGATAGAGAAAAATTATTCAGACATTTCAAACTGAAGAAATCTGGTGAGCTTTATTAATGTCATACAAAATAGGCTTTAAGGGAAAAAAAATTACTAGAAATGTGAGGTCACTTAATAAAGAAGCTCAGTTCACCTGGAAGATAAAACAGTTCTAAACTTGAATGATTGTTTTAGATTTAAAATATATACATCAAAAATTGTTAACTTCAAGGAGAAAACATTTCTCATAGGGGAAGATTTTCATGCACATCGTAGTGTACTTCAGTTAATCGGACAAACACAAGCATAAGTAAGAAACACAAAGTATAAACAACACTAATTAAAACCTTGCTGTACAGAGCATATGTAGAAGGCTGCATTTAGGCCTGCTGCTCAGCTAGTACCCATTGGTTCAGCTATACCACTTGTTAAAATATTGATATATGTCCATAGTAGTTGAATGGTCACTGCCCCAAGCCCACTGAGTGCCATCCTAATGCTTCAGCACCTTCCATACGACCTCCCAGAATAGTACTTTACGTAGTAACTAAAGAATTCAGAACTGGCCCAGCAAGCTGCCAACAAATATCTTCCTGGAAAGCTATCAGCATCCATTCTAATTGCTCTTCGCGCATGCCAGGTACTCTCCCCCCCACAAAAAACAGATCCATAGGTAAATGCCCATTGGGTTCTCTCAGTGTGGGGCTGCGTGCCTTTATCAGGAGCTCTCCCACTTTCACTTGGTCATTTGTGAGGACCGCAGCCTCTGGGAGAGACAGAAATGGAGAGAGCAGTCAAATGAGAGTAACAACACTGTTACAGGCACCATCCAAACATGAACTCTTGGCACGCTGTGCACTCCCACACAGGAGAGAATCTGCAGCCGGTGGATGAGGCCTACGGCAGTGGTGTGTGGATAAATGACTTCTGGGATGCAGATTCCTGATTTTATTATTCTTGTTGAATTTCACCATTATTTAGTGGGATAATTTTGCTAAAACTCACTGAATATCAGCCCACCATGGGCATTAATAACACTCATTAATGAAAATAGCTACCAACATAAATCTCTATACCAGATGCATTTAGTTGAGTGAACTGAGAAGCAGAAAGGTCATATACAAAGGATCTGTACCCTGGCTTATGCTCATAACTGCCATATTACACATTGCCTCTCATCTGGGATGAGGGATTAAGTTTGATATAATTAAATATGATAATCAGTAAATTACTTTTATAACTTAGTTATTAATATCGAATACATATTTGAGTACACAAAGTTGGCAGCATTATAAAGACTAAAAAATAATTTAATATGCTTACTGTAACTTCAGCAGAAGTTAAAAAGAGGATTCAGCCCCATGAACAATTCTGTTGATGTTACTAGTGATTTTCTTTTTGAATACTTATCAAGACTACAAATTAAGCCCTAGCTGGTGTGGCTCAGTGGATTGAGCACCAGCCTGCAAACCAAAGGGTTGCCGGTTGGATTTCCAGTCAGGGCACATGCCTGGGTTCTGAGCCAGGTCCCCAGTAGAGGGCACATGAGAGGCAATCACACATTACTGTTTCTTTCCCTCCCTTCCTCCTTCCCTTCCCCTCTCTAAAAAATAAATAAATAAAATACTCAAAACAAAATAAGACTACAAGTTATGTAATGACTACCTATTTAATGTGGAAATTCTTGGAGGGGCTTTATGCAATTTTCTATGTCCATGGTTTAGATGAGGGCATCTGCATCAAACAAGATCGTGGCTACAATTTCCAAAAACTAATAAATGATTGGAAGTTACTAGAATAATTTGATAAACAATTTGAGTTATAACTAATATCATTTGGCAAACATTTTTATAATCTATAGGTTACTTTATTAAGACTGTTTTAAATTTTATTTATATGTTAATTTATATTACTAATGAATGTTTAACATTTCTGAATATCACACTGACTATATGTAATAGCTACCTTTTGTTTTTTTAAACACACAAGGAAAATTTACGAAGTTTTCACTTAAAAGATCACATATTTCAAAAGAAGGGCCAAAGAAGAAATAGCAATGGAAATTAGAAATGTAGAACTAAATGATAATGGAAATACCACATGCCTCAAAACTTGGGGGATATATATAAGTAGAACAGTTCTTAATAGGAAATTATAGACTTTAATAAACTGGAAAAGAAGACAAGGAAAATTAATAAGCTAAGTATCCATCTCAAGAAAAAAAGAGCCCTGGCTAGTACAGTTCAGTGGTTTGCGTGCCAGCCTGCAAACCAAAGGTTCACCAGTTTGATTCCCAGTCAAGCCAAGCTGCGAATCTAAGCTGGTTACTGGTAGTGCCAGGCCTGGGGCTCACAGAGACCAGCTGTTGCTTGTTTGATAGGGTTTAGGAAGTTGTGAAGCATGAGCTAAGATCAGCCATTTATATGGAAAAGCAGTTTCCCAAGTTGGCTGGGAGGGAGTCTCAGGGAATCCCCAGGGCATGGCAAATAGTGTTAGCCAGGCTAATGGATTCTTAGATATGGTACCAGCTTGCTGACTCTGGGGAGAGAGTTCAGAAAAGGGACAATGGCCTATGCTTGCCTTGATGCCAGCCATTTCAGTTCCTCTCTGGAGGATGCCACTGGTGCCTTTCAAGCTGCCACCCCTGTGCTGGAGCTCAGAGGGAGTGAGTAAGTCTTAGTAGGTGAGTCCATGTGTGGGTTCTTTAAGAGGAATTCTTGGGGCTCTAGCAGTTTCTTCCACCAACTCAGTCCCTGCTGGTTTTTGCAGTTAGAAGTTGTGGGACTTACCTTCCTGGCACTGGGACCCTGAGCTGGGGGGCCTATTGTAGGGTTGGGATTCCTCGCTCCCACGTTATCCCCCCTGAATTTTTATCCCCCACATGTGGATGTGAGACCAGCCAGTTCTGAATCTTCTCCTCTCCTACCAGTCTGAAGGGATGTGGGTTTTTTAATTCTGTTCAGTGGAAGTTGTCAGACTTCCACTCAACTCAATTTTTGACTGTTCTGAGTGATGGTTGTTCTGTATTTTAGTTGTAATTTTGATGTGATTGTGGGAGGAGGTGAACCGTGTCTGCCTACATTGCCATCTTGACTGGAAGTCTGGGAAAGGTTTATTTAGTAGATTTTTTCCCTATCCAACTTTATGTAAGAAGTTTTTTCTTAGTATAAAAATTTGACTATTTGAAATTCTCTATGATGCACTTTTGCCTTTAGTGTATAAAATTCCACTTGTTATTAGAGCTATAAATTGGGAAGACCTGCAGTTTCAAAGACTCAGGATTGCATTTACTAGATCTCAATGTGAAGGAGCTGTGCCCAAAGAAAACTAGACTTAATCAAAATCAATAAATGACAGTGGATTTTCAGAAATTAAAATGGGGCTTGTAAAAGGTTTATGAAAAAAGAACTTTTTAATAACTAGAGACAATACTAAAAACACCATAATGAAAAGATTGTTTGACTATATTTAATCAGTAGGATATATACCAGATCTTTTCAGTGCATTTCAGTAGATACTGATAAAGAAATACATAATCCTGCGGTATAAGATGTTTTTCCTCTGAGTTGTCTCATGTATGCATGTTTTTCTGCACTTAGCCTTTCTCATTTAAAAAAAATGTTTTGGTGTTCTTCTAAATATCCTATCCATATAAAGCTATCCCTTTCTTTTCAAAAGTTGTACCATATTGCATAGCATTAATGTACCATGACTTATGTAATCAGTCTTTCCTTTTTTGTGTATATTAAGGTTCCTTTCCATTTTTTCTTATAATTAAGCGTATATTCTTTGTATTTATGAATGATTGTGTCTAAATTGGATACTCAGAAAAAAATTGCTGAGTCATAAGGTATGCACATTTAAAATTTTGATAGATAGTGGTACTCTCCAAACAGAAACTGTACCAGTTATACTCCACCAAAACATATGCGAGTGCCATTTTTTGCTAAGCCAATAGTGGATCATGTCAATATTTTAAATATTTGCTACTAACATGGGCAAAAAGAAGTTGTCCACTTACAGTTTGTGCAATTATAAATAAATGAGTATCAATAACCAGAGAATGCTAGAAAACTAAACAAATGTGTCATTTGCTTACAGGTCAGTGCTGACAGTTGCCTGTGAACAGACTGAAGTTCTGCTCTTTGACCCTATATCATCAAAGCACATAAAGACACTTTCTGAAGCTCATGAAGACTGTGTGAATAATATCAGGTCAGTATTATGGTAAAAAAGTGAACTTTACTAGTGTGACCCAAAATACTCTGTTTTGGAATTTCTCGAACATGTGTAACACCTTGTCCAGCAATGCTGGATGATACACATTTGTGAACTGTGAATCTTATCCCTTGTGAACCTTATCCCTTCAGTTACAAAACTTACTGTTAACTTTTTTTGAATTGGAATCTTTCTAAAATGCATTTTTACTTTCATATGATTTTCTTTTCTTTTCATATATTAGGGTCATCATTATGAACCTCAGCCAGTATTATAATAGTCTTGTAATGCTTTTAGACTAATGGTCTGTGTAGATTATGGCCATCCTGTTACTAAGCCTATTTCACCACCACCCCCAAAATTCACACTATTGAGGGGGAAAAAGCACATTTGCACAGAGAACTTCTTTATTGCATTTTTGGAAACTCCTCAAATTCTCAATGATGTGGAAAGTAGATAATAGTTGAACATTTTGGTGGATTAATATGCAGTCATTAAAATGATGGTCACAAAGACTACATGTCAACATAGACAAATGCTTTGGATAATATAGGTTAAAATCGGGATAAAAATTGTTCAAATATGACAGGATGCAGAATAACAGATTAGAAAGATATATTTTAAAATACTAACAGTGGGTGAGTTAGAATGGATGGATTATGAGTAATTTTCTATTTTCTTTTTTTTTTGCTCAGCACTGTCAGACATTTCACATACTATTTTCTAAATCTTATGTAAAGAGATAATTATTTTTATAATGATTACTTTTAATTTTCAAAAAATAAGAAATGTGGAAATTACTTCTAGTCAAGATGACATACTGAGTTTTAATGTAACTCCTGTGCTCCAAACACATAGAACAAAAGATTAAACAGCACAAAAGATACACCCAGGCAGAGAAACAGCAGTAAACATTTTCGTGGGCCCTAAGTTGAACGCAGACACAAAAATACCAGCTGGGTGTAAACCAGAAGCCCTCTGGGCTTCAGCCTGGCATTGATGCGCAGTCGTTTAGCTCCTGTCAGGAATCAGAAATGCTGACGTGCTTCGTGTGAGGCAGAAGCCAGAACTACCACAGGGGTTTGGTTAGAATGTCTGTCCCATTTGTGAAAGCCTGAAAAACGGAAAAAGCTATTAACTACCTGGGGCTATGGATTTTAGCTGATCAAGACACAGACTCATGACATGGAATTGATGAAGCCATTAACGAGTCAGTGACTGAATGTATATGTGTGAAAACTCCAATATCATCACGGAACTGGAGGCCTTAATGTCATTATAAGGTCTAATTGTGGATTACAGGTCCAGAAACCTAAGTGAGAAGAACTATAAAACCATTAAATAGGAAGAAAGAGAGAAAAATTAAAGACCTTTGCTACTGAAAATGAACCTACAACCAAAATTCCAAAACTCATGAAGACATCTAATATTAATGTCATAACAAAATCAGTGATCAGAATAGGCATTTTCTCTGGATGAAATTAATTTTATGGAGTAGTCCAACAAAGACTTTATTTTAAAAAATAAATTATTTTATTTATTTTTTTTGACTAGGTAATACATGCACGTGGTACAAAATTCAAAGATACAAAAGGGTAAACAGTGAAAAGTAAGTCTGTCTCCCACCTCTGTCCCCTAGCCACCCAGTTCCCCTCCCCAGAGGCAACCACTATTACCAATATCTTGCTATCTTTTCTGAGATAGTTTGTGCATGTACAAGTATACACACACACATACCTACACTTTTATATAAATGGTAGCATTCTACACATACTATTATGTACCTTGGCCTTTTTACTTCATAGCATATTTAGAAATCATTCCATGTTAGCATCCATGGGATGATCTTATTCTTTTTAACAGCTGCATAGTATTCCATTGATTGGAAGACACTTTAAAGCATTTTTAGGATGCTCAAAGTAATAAGTTAAAAGTTAAGGGGTACTTTCCATTTAAAGAGAGCTCAAAAATTATAAGACAAAAGAGATACAAGAAGAACAGATTAATGTAGGAATGAACCAACTAGAAATCTTTGTAGTTGGTATATAAAAAACTCAGTAGATGGGATAAATTTACCCTTTATACCATTGATGGCAGAATTAATGATTTAGAAAGTAGTATTAAAAAATTCATCCAGAGCGCAGAGAAAAAAGATATAAATATGAAAGAGTAGTTAAAAAACAAAGAAGATTAATTGAGAAACTCCAGAAAATGTATAAAAAGTACAAAAAGAAAAAGAAGATGCAGAGTGGTGGAGAACTAAGTTTTGAAGACAGAGGGACACACAGGCTGAGAATTGTTAACATTGAAGAAGAACCTGAGTCATTCCATCAAAGTAAACTTAAGAATGTCAGGTAGGTTAAACAAAGAAAGATCGACATCTAGACAGGTTGTGGTGAAACTAGAATGTCAAAGATAAAGACAAAAATCTTAAAAGCCACCAAAGCTGGAAGCCAGATGACCTACAGAGGTATGATAATTAAATTAGCAGAACGTTTCTCATCAGCAATAGTTGATGCCAGAGAAAATGGAATGTCTTAAATACTAAGGCAATACCTAATCATATCCAAGTAAACTGTTATTTTAGAATGAAGAATTTTAATGAGGTGAAATGATAAATGTTATTAATTGTTAATACCAGAAAGATAATTCAGGGATTGTTGGGGGTGGGGGCAGTACATTTAAAACAAAATTAAAATTCCAGATTAGTACCATCCAATAAAATTATAATTCTGGCTCCATGTGTAACTTAAGATTTTCTAGTTACATTAAAAAAGAAAAGAGAAGCATTTGGAATACATTTTTAATAATGCATTTTATTTAACCCCGTATGTCTAAAATAGTATTTCAGGATGTCATCAGTATAAACTTTAATGAGATACTCTACCTGTATTTTTTCATGCTAAATTCTCAAAATCCAGTATGTATTTTGTACTTACAGTACATCTCACTTTAGACTGGCTGCATATCAAGGATTCAACAGCCACATGTGACTAATGGCTACCAAATTAGACAATATAGTTGTAGAGAGTAACAACAAATAGGTTGTATGAATAGGGTTGTTTTGTTCAATGGGAAGGTATAACATGGTAAGGTCTTTGTCATGTTCAGGAAAAGATAGAAATATAAAGAGTCTGAAATCAGACCCTTTCAGAACAATATATAATTAAATATATACAGTAAAAAACTAAACTAAAAGTAATTAAAATAATAGAAGTACAGTTTACAGCTTTTAAACCAGCAGAAGAAGAGGGGGAAAAGAATATTGAAAACTTGCTCAATTCAGAAGACAGGAAAGCTTAAACAAGTAAATAAATAAAGGAAAGGAAAGATATACTAAATAGAGAATAAGAAGTAAAAATATTTCCAAATACTGTGTAGTTCAAAGTAGAAATGGATTGATCTTTATTAAAAGACAGAGATAGCAATTTGAATGAAAACCAAAATTATTCATATACTCTTTATAGAGATAGCAACACTAAGACTGCCCAAAAATAGAGAAAGAAAACTTCTGTAGGTTATCATTATTGGACAGATGGAAGACCAAAGTCTTTCATAAGGATAAACTGCAATAGCATATATTTTTTAAAAAGAAAAATCCACCAAGAAGGTATATAATCATTAATTTCTATGCAACTTGAAAGATGTGTGTACAAAGCAAAGATGGAATGATAAGGAATTACTAGTGTATAGTCATGCTGAGAGATTTTACTAGTTTTTTCCAAACTAGTAAATCAAGCAGATAAAAATTAGGGTATAGAAAATAAACTAGAAATGCTGCATGAAATTTTAAATATGTATGTATTTTTAGTGTATAGTTGATCTGATAAGGAAGGAATCCTAAGGCAAAAAATGAAGTGGAAGCGGGAATGTAAGAAAATAAACAAGCATTCAAGCTGTGTTTTACCATGGAGGCATTGGCCAGATGCTGGCGACCTTGAGTTTGTGCTTTGACATGTGTGAGGAGTCCAGAGGACAGGAGAGTTAATTCTGTGGCCTGTCGAAGGTGAGGAGTCTCGTAGCAAGCTCTGCGGAAGGGTGGGACTCCAAAGGCTTATACTTCTGGCATAAAGGTGATCTAGAAATAACTCACTGTGTTCATCTAGACTGTGGCACTGGGTAGGAGGGTGTCAAAAAATCTCTGTGAATTTCTAACCACAAGCCAGCCCTCATGCATGAGTGGAGCCTAAATTCACATTACCAAATGTTCCAAAAACAAATGCACATCTTCTCTGGAGAAGATGACTCAGTATCATAAATAAGTCAGTTCCTCCCAAATTAGTCTATATATTTAGTGCAGTTTTAATCAAAATATCAAGTTTTTTAACTTAATTTTAAAATTCATGTTGAACAGCAAAGTGCCAAGAATATCTGAAACTATTTTGAAGAGGACTAAGACAGTGTGAGTTCTCACCTCTCCAGATATCAAATGGAGTCTCAGGACAGGGATCGATTGAGTGACCAATTGAATGCAATGGAGCTTCGAGAAACTTGACATAAGATAGCAGGGGCATTGCCATCAGTGGGGGGGTGGGACAGTGGAAAACAGAGAATTGGTTATGAACGTGAAAAAATAAATAAAATTAGATTTTGATCTCATACCAGAACTAAAAGTAATTGCCAGTTAAAGACTTGTTTATAAAAGCAAACATTTAAAGCTTTAGAAGAAATATAGAATATGTTGTAAATATGAGAAAGGATTTCATAAGATAAAAAAGGATAAACCATTAAGGATTAATAAATTCAACTATGTTAAAATGTAAAACTTTATTGTAACAAAAGACATAGGAGTATGAGAAGATAAGCTATGGATTGGTGGGAGAAGATATTTTCATTGCAAATAATGGAAAAAAGGATTAATATCCAGAATATATGAGACAGTTTTCCTGGAACAAAATAGGCAGAGAATCACATAAGAGAAACTAAAATGAGCAATAAATATGAAAAGATTTTCAGGCTTACTAGTTACATGGAAATGCAAATAAAGAAAACAACCA